AGCAGCAGGAGTTGCAGAAGCTGCAGCAGGATCTGAAGGCCAGCCGAGCAGCGCAAAAGGCAGCAGAGGAGGCGCTGCAGACGACGCAGCTGCTGCTGCAGCAAAGATCCTCAGCGGCAGAAATGGCGAAAGAGATGTGGCTCAAGGAGAGCGAGAGGGCCTCGAAGCTTGCAGATGACCTAGACAGTAAGGCGGAGCTGGTGCTGCTGTTTTGGTTGCTGCTGCCGTTGGTTTCGCCGCTGCTGTTGGCTTTGCTGCAGCTCTTTCGTCGTTTTTTGTTGCTGGTGCTTCTGTTGTAGAGGCTGCTGGCGGTGGTGTTGCTGGTAGAGCCTCTCTGCTGCAGACCTTGCGGCTGTTGCTGCGTCAGCTGCTGTTGTTTTGCGTGCTCTATATTGGCTGCTGCTGCTGAGGGCTATTGCTGCTGCTGCAGTTGCCGAGAGAACCATCGCACTCCACGAGGAGGCGATTTTGGGTAGCAATGCGGAGCAACGGCGACTACAGCAGGAGCTGCATGGCCTGCAGCGGCTGCTTTTCACGGCACCTGCTGCAGTACAAGCAGCAGCAACAGCGCGGCCTGCAGCTCTTGGGGGCCGCGCTGACGGACACAAATCTAAAGCAGCAGCATCAGCAGACAGGGCTCTCTCCCCTGGGCGCTGCAGCACCGCAAGTTCTTTGCCGGTCGGGCTGGCGGGCGACTTGCACCGGGGAGTTCGCAGCAACGGGAGGCAGCTGCACCGGCAGCAGCAGCAACAGGACCACCTGTTCAGCAGCAGTGCTTGTGTAGAGTCCGTCACGGACACAATAGAAGAGCCCCTTGCAGCTGGAGAGTCGGCGGCCTGGCGCTTTGCCGTAGGTTGCTTTGCTGCTACAGCTGTTGCTGCTGCTCGTGGTGGCACTGCTGCTGCGCTGCCATTCTTGTCGCTATTGCTTCTGCTGCTGCTGTGCTCCTTGGTGGCTGGCGTTACTAGGGTGTTCATTGTTTGGTTGCTGCTGTTGCTGCTGCAGCAACGCGGACTTGGAACAGATTCGTCGGAAATGGCGGCAGCAGGAGTTGCTACTGCAGCGGCACCGGAAGAGTCTTTGTGTCCCATGCCGCATGTTGCTGCAGCGAGGTCTATGGACACCGGCTTTCTGCCGCTGCTGTTAACAGACAGTGGGGTGCTTTTAGAGGATGAGACGCTGCAGGTACCTCTGTTGCTTCCGCTAAACTTTTTGGTGCTGCGGATGCTGTTTGCTTTTTCCTTTCCAGGGTTTCTGCTGCTGCGTGTTTGCTGCAGAGCGTAGACCCTGCAGCTGTAGCGAAGTATCGTTTGAGGGTTGCTGCTGCTGCATCTGCATGCGGTTTGTGCTCTGATCGTTGCCTCAGATTGGAGTGCAGAAGACAATAAAGGGCCTGTCAGGCCGCATAAGCATTTACTTCGGCAACAAGAGGAGCAGTATGCTGCAGCAGTTCTGTTGTGAATTGCTGCTGCCAGCAAATGGCGGGTTGCTGCTGCAGCCAGAGGACCCACAGCGGCAGCTCCAGTATCTCAAGGGCAGGGAACAGGTGGCCCATGTAAGCGCGCAGCACCAACTTCAGCAGTGCTGCTGCTGCTGCTGCAGTGGCGTCGCTGGCGCTGGTGGCATAGCCATGTGTCTTCCAACTTGTGCTGCTACTGCAGTGACTCTACCGACGCTACTGGCGTAGCCGTGACATTGGGTGCCTTCCGACTATTTCTGCTGCTACATTATCTTTCTTGTTGCTGCTGCTGCTGCCGTTTGTTTCCGCAGCATTTGCTGCTGCAGTGCGTGGAGCCCTTCGACTACTGCCCAATGATGCGCGTCTCTTTCTTGTAGGCAGCAGAGCAGCCGAGCAGTCCACTTTGCGTAGTTTGTGCTTTCCGCTTCTTGTTCCTTGCCTGCCTTTTTCTCTATGAATTTCTTCTTCGTTTACTCCCGCATTAATTTGTTTAGTTGTAACTCTTTGCGCCTGCGTGTGCACTTTGCCCTTCCGCATATCCACCAACTCATCGTTTGCTCATTGTTCTCTGGGTTATCGTTCGCTGCATGCATTTGCTTCTTGCTCTTTGTGGGATTATATGGCCTGCATTTGCGTGCATGCTGCTGTTGCCGTATGCGTCTTCGCGTTTGTGAGGCTGTAGCTTCTAGCGTAGATTGGGAGTGTCCACGTTTGGGCTCTCACAATGCATTTGCGCATGCATGCTTGTGAAGAGCTCATTTGTCAATTTTCCATTTGTGAAGTCAACTCCATTTCCAAATGAGGGTTTCTGCTGCTTTGGATTTGACAGTTCCGCAGTCATCATTTGCTTTTTGCATGCCTTTCCTTGTGTATTTGGCGTTTCCCGATGCCTTGGTTGCTGCGGCGCTGCTCGTTTGCTTGTGATCCGCCTGTTCATTTGTTCCAGTTGCAATTTTTTGACTGGGGAAAGATGAAGTTTGGTTGCTTTTTGTCAGTAGTCAATGTCAGGTGTGGATTTGCTGCTGCTGGGTTAGCAGTCTGCTGCTCGCTTCTTACTGGTGACTCCGTTGCGTTCTCAGGATGCCCGATGCCACACCCTGGAGGCGCGAGGTATTTATTCCTCTGTCTTTGTCGCGGTTTGTCGAGGGCCATCAAATGGGCGCAGACGACTTCTACCAGCTTTGGAATTTGCAGCACTTCGCACTAAACGAAAGTACGGTTGCTGCTGGTTTCGTGGAAATCCGCAGCGGCAACAGAGGCAACGAGCGGTCGTAGCAGCAGTCTACATTGCCGATAGGCATTTCTTGTTCTAACCAATAGATTCGAAATGCAACAGCAGGCTGCATTAGTCGTCACACTTTGTAGGAGCAATTAAAAATATGGGAGCGGAACAATTCAGGCCAACGTAGTCTGCACCGAGTCCATAATGATTTCATATACAGTGGTGTTTACCGAAGATTCTGCATAGCAGCAATATTGGACAGTTAGACACATGTATTCAAGATCAGGCTACGCAAGCGAAGTTGCAATTTGCCGTTATCCTGTTTTTCTCTGCAGCTGCGTGTGTGCTCAACCTCCACCCCCAACTCCAGGGTTCAATGCTTTCACTCGTGCGGCGCCTGCAGCTAGTGAGCCACCGGCGTCAGGGCAGCAGGAGCTGCTGCTACTGCTGTTCTTGATGCTGCTGCAGTTGCGGTTACATGTGGTTGGGCTGAGATGCAGCGGTTTGCGCCGTGCGCTGGACGGTGTCTGCAGGTTTTTCTGCGTTTCTGTCGCTGCTTTTGCTGCTGCTGCACCTGTCACTGCTTTTGCTGTTTGTGCTGCTCAGGGCGGTGCTCTAGCTCTCTGCGCTGCAGCGGGCGAGAGCAACGCACAGACTCTGGCTGTGGCTGGCAGCATGCAGCGGCCTTCAGGAAACGTTTTGCCGCAGCAGCAGAATGAGCAGCAGCAGCAGCAACAGGAAGAGCAACAGACACGACCTGTCGTTCGTCTCGTTGTTTTGGCCCGGTGTGTCACTTGTTGCTGTTGCAGGCACTTTGCTGTGTAGAGCTGCGTACGCCCTCCTGTAGCTTCGCACAGAAGGCGCACTTGCTGCTGCTGCTGCTGCTGCTCTCTCTGCAGGCTAGAGCTGGGGTCGGGCCAGCAACAGGGCCGCGCCCGTCTGGTGGTGCGGGCGAGCGACGGCGTGCTGAGCTCGGCCATTCGGTCTGAGGTGTATGCACAGCTGGCGAGGGCCCCCATAGCGTCTTGATGCACAAGATAGGTAGATGGGGCCCAGCGCTGTTACGAATTTAATTAGATTGTGATAGCTGCTGTTGCTGGGGCGGAAACGTGCAGCAGCAGCAGCAGCCGAATAGCTTTAACGCCACGAGCTGCAGTAGCAGCAGCAAAAGCAGCAGCGTCTGCTGCCTTTTTTCTGCTTCAGTAGTAGCAGCAGCATTTGCTACTGCTGCAGTGGTGTATTTGTCCTGCAGCAGCAGCGACGGCCGCTGCTGCAGGTTGCTGTGGCACAGCCGTGAATCCCGTACCGACCCCTTGTTGGGGCGGCGCGCTTTTTTCTGTTTCGAATGCGGCAGCCAAGCTGCAGCAACAGCAGCAACAGCAGCACCAACAAATTGTTGGTAGGATGTACAGGGTGGTGATTTTTTTCTGTGGTGGCTGCTGGTGAGCGCCTTGCTTCATACACACTTTGAGGTGTATGTACACAATAATAGAAAGTCTTAGACTGCGGGAATTCGCAACATCAGGAAGGAGCATTAGATTTGGTTTCTGTAGACCCGAAATCCTTTGCCCCAAATCGCGAGACCTTACCTCAAGCAGTAATCCTAGATATTTGAAAGCTTCCTGCTAGCAGAGCCCCGGAGGCCCCCAATTTGCTAGAGCATCTCAACTTGGATTTTCATGCATATTTATGTTGAAGCCTGCTTGTGAATGTTAGCAATGCGTACATCTGTGTGTGTATATGCATGCGAAGGGGGTGGAGATTAGGCCATAATTTAGAGGTTCTACGAGGCCTTTGGCGCTGTGGCACTCAGCACGGGTGGATCTGAGAGAAAAACAGTAAAGTAGAGCCCAAGTCCGCAGCAGCTAGAGCCTGTGGCGTTCTTGCACTTACAAGAAGCAAAGGTCGCAGCCGAAGCAAGGCAGCAGTCATGCGGCGCCGCATGAGCACTCCAGCAATTAGCTGAGACACTAGGGGTCAATTTTAAACGCCTTAATTCAAATGAGATATTACACGAACAGTTGTATACTGAAAGGGTAACGTGGGACATCCAGAGTCAGGGTCAGTGTGGTCCTGGAACTGTGGAGCTGTTGCCCTTTGTCTATGGGCTGGTGCCTTCCAAAGTGCTACTGCTTCACGATCTAGTTTCTACGCAGCTTCTCGCCAACGTCGGCTCACGAGACAGGTAAATTTGTAGCCCCTCTTAGTGCCTTTTTGAAACTGTTGTCTCAAATTCCCATGGCCTCTGTCGCAGGGTGGATAGGGCTCCATTTCTCAGAGGCCCAGACGTGCAATTGTGAGATCTCTAGCTACTATATTTGTGCTGCACTGGCTCTGGCTGCTAGATCTGTAGTTAGCTCACATGCTTAACTGGACACTGGGGCTGCCGACTCAGGGGCCACACTTAGATGAGCTCGGGCGGAGATGCCCTGACGTGGCGGGAAAAAATGCCTTTAACCTTTTGGCTTGCTGCTGAAGGCAGTACCAAGGGGTGTAGAAGCAAATTTTGCGCATGGAGGGATATTTGTACAAATTAACACATTGCTCCGAACATATATCCATGTACACGTGTGTCTTGCACGTGCCGTTAGTACACATATTGTAATTTCATGGCTCATCAAGATGCATTTTGTTGTATGCAAGTTGTGTGTTTACCCTCGCACAAACGGTGCCGCCGCTGCTGCTGCTGCTGGGGCGGTGGTTGCTGCTGCACACGGTTCGATTCAGCTTGCGCTCCACCATCTGGCTGTTTCCACCACTCTACTTCTTCTATTTTATTATCTGGTTACTTCGATCAATTCAATAGATTAAATCGAAAGAATAGTCTGTAATGAGCATCAGTTTGTCTTCCACTGCTCGCGTCTTCGCCCAATGACTCTCTGCCACAGCTTCGCGGCTCTTCGACAGCCGCTGCACTCCTTATCCAGCAAAACAGCTAAAATATATCAGCTGAGTCCCAGAATTCTATCTTCATACAGTCGACGCTCCGGTAATTCTGCTTTTCGCTTTCAGCAAGCAGAAAGGGGCCTCTTGGGGGGCCCCCCAGGGGGCCCCTCAAATCTCCCTTGCGGCGGGCGCTGCCTCAGCACGTCGACGGCGAGTTCAGCTCTTCCTGAAATAACTCCAGCAATCGTGGGCTCAGTGTTTGTCAAGGACCCTAATGAGCCGTTGCCTGTTGCTGATGCGGCTGCAAGTAGCAGCAAGGGCAGCAGCACGAGCAGCAGCACGAGCACAAGCAGCGGAAGCGGCAGCAGCGAGCGGTGTGGGGGCCCTGAGCCGTACGTGACAGTGTATGAGCCCAGCACAGGGGAGGCTATAGGCCGCACTCCGAATTTGGGGAGTGCTTGGGTTTCTGCCGCTGTTGCTGTTGCTGCTGCAGCGCAGCGTGAATGGGCCCGCAGCAGCGTGCTGGCCCGCAGTACTTTGCTGCTGCAGTGGTTCAAGCTATTGGAGGAGCGTAAGGAGGCCCTTGCTGCCCTCATAACAGCAGAAGCAGGAAAGCCTGTCCCTGAGGGGCGGCAAGAGGCCGTTTATGGCGCCTCCTACGTGCGCTGGGCAGCTGAGGCTGCGCGGCAGCACAATGGATTGACTATTCCTGCTGCTGCTGGCAGCAGCAAACTGCAGTTTACTGTAAAGGAGCCCCTGGGGGTGTGCGCCCTTATCACCCCTTTCAACTTCCCCCTTGCTATGGCTGCTCGCAAAGCAGCAGCAGCACTAGCAGCAGGAAACGCCTGTCTGCTGCGCCCCTCTGAAGAGGCCCCGCTGTCGGCCTTGGCCCTGGCAGCAGCAGCAAGGGAGGCGGGCCTCCCCCCCGGGCTGCTGAACGCGCTGCCGTCGTGCCGTGCGGGTGCTGCTGCGTTTGCCGCTGCTGTTGCTGCAGCGCCGCAGGTGCGGCTGCTGTCCTTTACGGGCTCCACCGCTGTGGGGCGCCAGCTGTACAGACAGTGTGCAGACACAGTGAAGCGGCTGCAGCTCGAGCTCGGGGGAAATGCTCCATTTGTTGTTTTTGCTGATGCTGATATAAACGAGGCAGTCTTGGGACTGCTGGCTTCGAAGCTGCGCTGCGCGGGCCAGGCTTGCATCAGCCCCAACCGAGTGTACGTACACCGCAGCGTCTTCGCCGAATTCACGAAAAAGGCGACGAAGCTTTTCAAAGACCAGACAGTAGGGGACCCCAAGACCCACGGGGTGGCTGTGGGGCCCCTGATCAACCATGCCGCGGTGGACCGCGTGGAACAGCTGGTCAAAGATGCTGTAGAGAAGGGGGCCAAGCTGCTGCTGGGCGGCAGCAGGCTGGAGGCCCGCAGGGGCGTGGGGCCCTCAAAGGCCCGCGGGGCCCCGGGGGCCCCCCAGGGCACCGGGGTTTCTGGGGGCCCCAAGGGTCCCTGGGCCGCTGGCGGCAGCTTCTTTGAAGTGACAGTTATGGACTGCCGCGAGATGGCAGCGGACGCTCGCGTGCTGCGGGAGGAGTTGTTTGGCCCCATCGTGTGTCTGTACGAGTTTGAGGCTGAAGAAGAAGCAGCAGCAAAGTGTAACGACTCGGAAGCTGGGCTTGCTGCTTACTTTTACACCCAAAGTGCGGGCAGGGCCGTGCGCTTCGCGCAGCTGCTGCAGTGCGGGATGGTGGGGGTCAACACCGGGACCCTCTCCTCCTGCGAGGTGCCCTTTGGGGGAATCAAGGCTTCGGGGATGGGCCGAGAGGGCTCTGCTTTGGCCCTAGACGATTACACGAGCACCAAGTTTGTAGCCATCCAGACGGGCCTGTAGCAGGTTCTAGAGTCCAAGCCCTTTCTCCCTGGGCTTTAAAATTGCCCCTAGAGCGTAGCAGACTAACTCCGCTCAGGCTCAGGCTTTAGGGTTTTCTTAAGTGGGAACCTGCCACTACGCGTAGGGGTAGTTCCAGCCCGACTTGCAGCTCTCCTGGCTCGAAGTTTTGTGAAGGGCCAGAACCTTCAACATTAAGAAATAAGCCCTTAAGGGGGAAACTTCTTTTTTTTCTCAACGATTTGCCGAGAAGCATCTTAGGACGCCGAGGGGTCTCTCTACCGTGTATATATCTGGTGCACCTGACGGCTTTTGGCGTCTTCCGACTATTCCCTTCTGCTCATTTATCAAACTTTGGCTGTGGCCGAGACAGAGAAGCCTTTTGCGCATTCGCAAGAGGGAACAGTGAAGGCCATAACAGCTCTTCGTAGTGAGTTCTCGTTGCTGCTGTGGCACGTTACCATGTAAAGCATGGAGGAAAGCTCAAAGGCTCCCTTTTGCTGGAATACAAGTGCAGCTTGTGTCGGGTAATTGGAAGAGGGGTCATTGTCTCTGTCTCTTCAGTCTCAAGTTGTCTCTGCAAACTCGCTGGTGCCCGTACAATAGGGCTGCTCTGCGCGTCTGCCCACGTACTTCACTCCTTCATTTGCATGCGTATCCACACTTCTTAACCAAGGAATTATAGTTGTAGCGTTTTTGTGAAGTCTAGATACAAGTAGATGGGCCACAAAGGCCCGGCACGCATTTTCTTCCCGCGACGGGTACTTAAATGGGGCCACCTATGGCTGGCCACTACTACTTTGCTTGGAATTCCGAAAACACAGTACTTGTCTACAATTTAGGGTTCGGAAATCCGTGTCTACTGTGTAGGTTCGAGCGTACTCTCCAGGTCCTATAGCTCAGTTGGTTAGAGCATTCGGCTAATAACCGAAAGGTCGCCGGTTCGAGACCGGTTGGGACCATGGGTCAGTTTTTGTAAAAGGGCCAGCACATTGTGAAGTTAAATGCCCTATTGTTTTCTCCTGAAGGCTGATTACGTGAAGTGCTTACGGTTAGCTCAGGAATTACTATAGCCTAGCCAGCTTTGGAGGATGGCACAGGAAGAGGCTCCTTCCCGGGTTCGATACCCGGCATATGCTTTTCATTCAAATGAACTCGGCATCGTCTGCTCATTCGACTAGGCCACTTTACGAAGCTCGGCGAAAAATAATTCCCATTCAAACCGCTAAGTCACCTCGATTTTAAACTTTTGACGTCGCGTGATCCCTATATCGCTTGTTCATGATTGCAAGCCCTTGAATGCTTTCAAAAGCTTGTGAACTGCCAGAGCACTCCTCCTAAAGCGTTTACTACTCCTCACCGTTTTAGGGGAATTATCGCTGTGTAGTTCCCCAAAGCTAATGAAACCTACCAAGCGTACAGCGCATCCCCCCGCTTGTGTTCTCTCGTCGCACTTCCACGAAGCTTAAACAATTACACTTGCACTCTGATGGTCAAAAATTAGGACAAGCGGTTTCTTTATTAAAAAAGTTGAATGACGTGTAAGCTCTCCCACCGTTACGTTTAAGAGCGGCAAACACTCAGAGGCCAGGACGCAATGTTCCTATTTGAAGTGCCCAAATTAAAAAGGCACCTGTATTGAATTACAGCGAGCAGAAAGGCAGATGCAGCCAACGCATGAATGACTCCAAACTGCAGTGTGCTCCAAGCAAGCGGTCCTACGTTGCACTGCATGTGCTAGCGTACGCTCTAGCACATAAAATCCAAAGTGAAAGACACTGAACTTGATGATTGCTTACGAGGCTAGACTTTGCAAAACCGGTAAGGAGAGAAAAAAAGTAAAGCAACACTGAAAGAGACAAGGGACTAATGCAAGGTGAAGCAGCTGCAAGGGAAACAGAAGGAGGCACAATGGAGGAGGTGGTGGAGCAAGACCAAACAGAGACAAACTACTGGAGGTGCGGTAAACACCAGAGTTTCATTATTGCGCGTAGTAAATCACGAGGTCGTCAATCTCTGCAGCGAATTCCCGAAGTTTGTCTTCACCTATTTTGTTGTTCATGCATCTCGCTATTGGAGCTCCTGTCTTTGCGTGGTAAGCCTAAAGATGACAATGCGAATAACGCTCTCTGCTGCGTTCGTCCCCTTTTCGTAGCTTTTTCTTGCACATTGTGCTGCAGCGCGTCCTCTCCACCTCAATCACCCCTTTCCTGTGCCTGCTCGTCATTTACAGTGCGACGCCTATTTACGGCTTACCTGATTAATTGCTCTAGGCAACTCGTGTGGCGATATTAGAAAGGTACGCGAACAGTCAATTGACCGGCTACGAATATCTCGCCACGCCAGCACTGCTTCCTGCAGCACAAAATGACAGAATGAAGCACAAAAGAGGAACGCCCAGCAAAAGATACCAACGCAAAAACCAAAGAAGAACTTGATGTGCCCTAAGAATGCATATCCAGCGTGAAGTCGTCAACCAACGCCCGCGTATCTGGTTGTCGGCGAAGATGGAAAATGACGGGTCGGTCGTGCACCTCTAGCACCACTTTGCATATTGTGTGTCTAACTTCGTTTATCATTGTGTGCCTCTTTGCCACTTTCTGTGTCCGTGTGCGTGCCCTCTCATTCTGTTCTTGTGCCTTTGTCTCTATTCATATTATCCCCAGAAACAGGTCGCTGCTCTTTATCCTGCGCATTTCGTTGCCCGTGTAGGCCTTTTCCGTTGCAGCTCTACTTCGTTTACTATTGTGTTTGAAGGTTACCGCGAGTGCGCGTTTCTTGCCGGTTGGTCTGCGTAGTTGCGGGGCCCGAAGGATCTTCTCCAAGTCTTTGTATTTGGGAAACGTGAATGGTTTACACAGCATCGCCTTCACTTCCTTCTCGTACGCATGCACCTGAGCAGCAAGCAACAGCACAAGCAGCATGATACGCAGCTGCAGCAGTTGTAGCAAAAACCGGCAAAAAAGTGTCAGCAGCAGCAGCAGCAGCACTCCTAGCCATAGTAGTGGTTGCAACGCTTGTCTGGAACGGGCTGACAATCCTTGTAGTCAGCAAAACAGCAGCAGCAGCAGCAGCAGTAACCGCAGTAGCTGTAGCAACAAGAATTGCACTTAAAAGGAAACCACCAGAGCCACAGTAGAAGAAAGCGAGCCGGCTTGCTGAAGAGACACAAAACTAAAGTTGAGCGGAGGCAAAAACAGTAATTAACGAGAAAATCAACGCTAGGAGGCCAAACCAAAGCTTCAGGGAGCCTGAACCGCAAAGCAAGGGGAAAGTCCAGAAAAAGGCAATTATCTAAAACCAGAGAAGAATGCAGCGAGCACAAAGAGAGAAGAAACCAATTCAGCACACCTCCCATCAAGTACTAGTTGCAATAAAAAAATAAAAGAGCAAGGCAATACAGTGAACAAGCGAACACACGGCACTTCAAGATGCACGCAAATGCATGCAGGAAAGTGAACAAACACATAAAAATGCAGATTTAGTGCAAATAGGCAAACTATCAAGCAGACAACCCCACTGTGAACAAAAAAGAAAAGACCCACTGGCAGCTACTGAGCATGCGCATGTGCGCGGTGACAGACCTACAGGACAACAGACATATACAGTCCGGGAATCAGACGAAATGCCAAAAAACAGGTAGCACGCTGTCACGTGCACAATAAAAACGGCAAGACAAATGTACAGGCCGAGGCCCACGCAGGCACATGAGCAACAAGAAGGCCACACAGAGAGACATATGCTGAAATGAAGCGAAAGAGACGAAAAATAAACACCTATCACAGCATCAAAGGCAAGAATCGAGTTCAAAAGTATGAACCTACAGGGAAACATGTCATACATATAATCAAAAATGACCATAGCATTGACAGAAATAGTCCTGTCAACGTTGCTGCTGCTTTCGCTGCTGATGCTGCAGCCGCTGCTGCCGTTTGTCGCCGCGTCATCGTTCATTACCTGCCAATTCGTTTTGCGTATCTGTAGTAGAGGTGCAACAAGTAACGAACGTCATTTACAGCATACTGCAACATGCCCCTGGTGAGGGGCCTAAAATTCAAACGAAGCAGCAATAAAAACAAAGAATAACAGGTGGAAGTAGTAACGGGCAAATCGTTTCAACCGAGGGTTCAGAAGCGCCACACGCAACGGCAAACTCTAATCCTAAACTCTGTGCGTCAAATATAAAATCCAACGTGTACATCTACCTCGCCTATCCTGGATCCGTTTTCCTAATATTATCTACCCAAACGCCCAGGGCTCAGGAAATGAGGCTTTGGGGCTCGGTTCTGGATGCTAGGGTTCAGCATCGTATCTTGTTTCACCTGTTCGACCAGTCACAAGTTTTGTACCATTCTTCTTTGTGCTCATTGAATTCCAGTGCCAAAACGTTCTTCAGGGAAGTGCCGCCCTCAATGTGAAGGAACTTTGCCGCCTTTCCAGTGTCAAAGGCGTTTATTATGTAGACGTTGAAGTCCCGCTGCGAACAACAGTGCCCACACGTCTGTGCAAGTTTCTGTTTCTGCCTTCATTGCGTTTCGTCTGGAGCTGCCCAGTTGTTCCCGTCTGTAGGATGTCTGTGTACTGGCTTATGTCTTCAGTCTTGCTCTTTTGCCTGTTTTGGGTTCTTTCTCTCCTTGCGATTTCGTCACCTGTAGCCATGTGATGTCGTTGTCGCCGTTGTGCAGCACCTTTACAATTGACGCGTCCGCCGTGATTTTATTTAGAATAAATAATTTTTCGAAAACATTTAGGCTGTCAATTATATAAATATGTGTCGCAGTGCACACTTGAATCAAACACGTAAACCCTCTGTAACTGGCTTGGGAGTGGTGCTCCACATCAATGGCCACCGCACTACTCTTCCCTGCAAACAAACAGGCATGCTATATAAGTAATAACATTAAAGTAATAATTTAATCAAGTACGCGACGCTGATTTTGTCGGTTAGTCTCTCGACGGAATGATACACGACAAGCACTGCAAGAGATGCATATTCGTGCAAATACCTCTACTCACTCACAGGCCCTAAGTGAACCTCCATGTAATGTGCAGCAAATTTTGCACCGTATGCAGTACAAAATCTTAAACATACATCAAAGTAGACTTCAAACATTAACTCAAAGACCCCACAAGCCTTTAAACGCCAAACCCAAAGCCTAGAGCCCGCAACACTCTGCCCTTAGCACTACCCTAGACCCTTATTCCTGGCCCATGATTACTTTTTTCTGTGATATCTTCAATCATTTCCGCCAATTGCTCGTCGTTCTCTACGAAGGTAAACTCAGACACATCCTTGAAAGGGTCTTCGTCGACTGCCTCTGTAAACACACGTCGAGTGACTGTTGGGTCTACCGCTAAATTTTGTTCTTCCGCTCCACTTCTGCGGTACTGTGGTCAAAGACTCATCGTGTGCGCGGTATGCTTTACACCACTCGGAGAGCCCTGATGCGACGCCTCATATTTTGAGTTCAATGCTTTCGGCGCATACAGATCAGTAGTTGGGGCACAACTCTAGCCGGTATGCACAAAATATTTACAGCCTGACCGAAAAAATGCATTTTGGCGTTTTGAATTTCATGTTCACAGGGCGGGCGCTCCTTAACGAGAGCCTCGAGAGCTAGGAAGCCTTGATATGTGATATTCCTGTTCACTCTTGGTTTTTGCCTAGTTATCCCATTAAGCAAATCAGTAGGCTGCTGGGCTTCAAATGCGCATGAAAAGTTAGATATATATTCCTTCCATCTTCGCTGTGGAAATGAAAGGAGCGGCTCCACCCCTGCAGCGACAGCGTCGCGCCAGAGTTGCTCGATATAGTCGAAACGGTCCCCTTCTCCAGCCATTCTGATATAATGCATTTCTTTTTAATTCAAGTAGAACTGACGAGATTGATGAGAATTAACGAGGCGGGCAAACACCAACGTACCAGGCAGTTATGTGTGGCTTTGATTTTGCTTGACCACCACTCAATTTACCGCACAGCTGCCTGGCTCCCCATTGTAATACAAAAATCAATCCTGTAAATGACTTTATTTAATGAATTATTTTTGCCTCGTGGATTCTGTTTCTCATCCCATTTGAAGAAGGGCGACTCAATGGGGCTGCGGGTCTGTGAGCGTTATAAACAATGTAACGAAACGTATTGGCTGCATTTCCTCAACTTATTCGCACCCGCTTAGACCAGATATCTTCTAATGATACAACAAACATAAGCTAAGCTAACACTAGTACTAATAGTTGCTACTGAGGGCTGACTCCTGTGTTCAGTGCTGCTCGTGCTCCAGTGGTCGGTAGGTTACTTCCCACACACACTGCCACTAGAAGCTGCACCTCTTAAGAAAAACTGAAAAAACCAAAGGGAGATACTTGAATTTTCAATATTGTTTTGGAAGCTGCAGCCGAATTCTCCAGCATAGGTGCGCCTTCGTCTTCGTTGAAATACTTGCCGCCACTATTCACGCTGAACGGTCCGGTGATTAGTCACTTCCAGCCATCTAGTTAGGCTCAATAAGCACTCTGCTATCAAATTTATCAATTATGGGTGGGCTATCTTAAGTTTTGCCTCGGCACTTCGGGCAGGCTGTAGTTCTATTTGAAGCACTGACATTCTAGGCGGCTGGCTTAATGTGTGTTAGAGCCCACTCTCTCCATTATCATGCTCCAAAAGTTCAAAAGTTTAGGGCTGACATGCTTGGTAAGACCCAACCGAAGAACACTCTAAAGTTTAATGACGGTTGCGAAGTCCAGACTGAGAATAGAGGGATTGTAAGCCTGAAAACACCGTAACGAGTCCGCTAAAGGGGCTCAGGCCTTTCACTACAGTCAACAGAATCAATACACCATCAGAGTCTCCCTTACTACTTAACATGACATATTTATTGTCTTAATGTGTTTGTGCTAACCTAGAGCATTTCCCGCAAGGCTAACATCGGAACTTTTTTTGCAGATTTCAGCAGCTTTTTGTATTTCTTCGATTAAGCTTTTACCTTGTCTTTACACTTTTTACCGTGTACTCCCTAATCTTTCTGAGACCGTTTGCATTCCGGATTTCCGCCGTGTTGGTTCGACATGTTTTCCACACTGAAACTTAGTTTCGATGTTTCTTTTCAAAATTCTAACCAACGCCACCAGCCAGGCCATGCGTCCAAATAGCCCACTGCAACCAGTTTCCTAGGACGCTCCTGTTCTGACTTAAGATGCTGATCCGATTGTGATTAATGCTGTTCCACTGGTTGCTGGTGTTGCCGCTGTGCAGGCTTCTCTTGTCGTAGGTAAATCTGCTGGGTTCGGTACAGCTAAGTAGGCTCTTTACTTGCAACACTCGTTTCTCCTGACTGCGTTGGCACTTGTTGCTGATGTAGGCATTACGGCAACTCATGCAGCTTCTCCTGAGGTTGTCGCTGCAGCCCCGCTGCTGCAGTGTTTGTTAGTCTTGAGCTCCCTCCTCCAGCTGGAGATGGTGCGCTGCCCCTGCCAATGTGGTTATAGCGGCTGACGTAGATGCTCCTGCAGCGGCTGCTACCTTTCTGCAGTAAACTGCTGCTAATCGGCACGATTTTAATCGAAGTAATGGTAGCCCCGCCAATGCCCGCAAACCGCGGCTGCCGCATGTGGCTGTTGTGGCCTTCTGCTGTGTGTTGCTGCTATTGCTTGCTGCTGCCTTTTGTTTTTCGCTGCTGTTGCTGCTGCTGCTTTCTGGTACTGGCACCTGCTGCTACTCAGGGCTGCGTACGGCTGTTATACCGTGATTCGAAGAAAATTTTTCGGGTGGCGTGTATGTTACAGACAAGATGGTCTTTTTGCATCATTTCAGGTGTAGGGAAAAAACATAGAGAAGTTCGGAATTTGGGCAGAAGAGACACCCGTATGCGTTGCAGTGGGCTCAGACCGCTGCAGTTATTCAATAAGCCACAACAGGAGCAGAAGCGGCAGCAGCAACTTGATCGAAACTTGGGGACGTCTGAATGCCATGAAACTGGGATTTGGACTGCAGCAACAGATGTGGAGTGCTGGGTCAAGACGCCTGCGCCTTTAGCAACAACATGAAAAATAAACTACCCAAAGTATTTGCTGGAGTTACTTGGCGCTGCTGTCTGTTGCTGCATTTTGTTGGTGCTGCTGCTTCTTGGTTATGCTGCCTGATGTTGTTATTTGGTGGTGCTGCTTGCTGTTGTTCTTTGGTTGTGCTGCTCGGAGCTGCTGTGTTTTGTTGTTCCTTGGTGGTGCTTCTCTCTATTTCTGCTTGGCAACGTTGCTTGGTTGTATATGCGCCTTGTTCCTTCTGGCTAGCGCGAACGAAATGTAGTATTGGTGAACAGTGTGAGCAGCAGTATTCAGATGCTCCGGGCGCTTCTGCTGCTGCAAAGGCCAATTTAACTGCTTCTGCTTGGCCGTTCTACTTCTTGCATGATTGCATTATTCTCTGGCTGCTATAGCAAACCAGTGTGTCTCTCTTATTGAAGCGCTAGTAGCATCTGAAACAGCAGCACGGCGGATGCGTTTGTATTTGTGAAAGTTCACTTCAAGGCGACAAAAGTGATACTTGTAGGTAGGAAACAGATGCATGAAGACGAGTGCGGCCAACAGCAGCATCCAACTGTATACAGCCGGAAGCAGAGAGAAAGCCAGCCACACAGATTATTTGTCGTTTCTTCGTGCTGTTACTGCAGCGCAAACCACAGAAAGAGGCCTTGCGGGCATGACTGCTGGTGAGATAGTATTTGACTCACAGAGGAGCTGAGAAAAAGGGGAAAAATCGGACGAAGTCGGTAAGAATGCAGGAGCAACAAGAGAAAAGGGAAGTCACGCAGCAACTATAGTGGCGTCCGCCGCAGCGGAAGGGCCTGCAGAATCAGCAGTAGCAGCAGGAGGACCAGTTAGTTTGTAGAAACAGAGGGACATTCCAAGGCCATGAGGCTGTGGCATGCACGGTGACATCAGGATGATGTTCAGCACAAAGAGCTGCAGCAGGAGCGCTATGAATGACAAATAACCAGGTACTCCACCAATACACCTCTACTTCACACACCTTCAACTAACTTTCCACGCAGCATCGCCTCCCAACATCAGACAAGGCATGTGATGACCACAAGGAACAACCCAATTCCACGCAGACAAATCTCTTCGACGACGCTCCACAGGACGTGTGATATCCACAAACAGCCGCTGACTGCCACGCACTCGCATGCCTTCTAAGACTAGCTGCTTCACGATTGGAGAACGACAAGAATATCAGTGGACAAGCAATAAATTCTGCTCCGAGTGAGCTTTGTTCTCGGCATTTTTATAAGAGGCCACTCAACATCCACATGTTCTAACGAGACGTGGAGGACGGAATGTGGCGGCCCAGCATACTTGTTATACAAATGACAGGACTTCCCTTGCCGAGGAGCTGACAGCTCATGAAACCGAACTTTTCCATAGCCTTTAGTAGCTCTTGTAGCCTCTTCCCAGCAACTCAATGCGTGGCTTCTGCCCTTCACAGCCTTTTCTGTGCCTTACCGCCACTGCGCCTTCACCTGTCGGATTGGGACTCTGTCCTGAGAACTGTTTGATTTAAAGTTTCATATTCATTCAGGCGATCCTTTCGATACCCTGGCAGTAGCTCAGGCAAGACCGCAGCGCGATGAGTTTCCTGGGTCAGGCTGCGTCGCAGTTGCATCCCATTCTCTTGAAAATAACAGTAGTCTCCGAGTACTATACAAAGTTATCTTAAGGATATCTAGAGCAAGTTCTGCAATAAATGAGAAATGCTGCAACAGGAAACTCAGCTGGACGACGAGGGTATCGATCCCTCTACCTCTCGCATGCTAAGCGAGCGCTCTACCATTTGAGCTAGACGCCCCCACCCTGCGTATTTGTAGAATAAACGACGGTGTAGCTAACTGAACTAGAAGACGGTTGTACAAGCAGCATCCGACAAAAAAGGAAGCTGAGGTAGCGAGTGTCAGAAACGTAGTGATGGCTTTAAATCTGCCCCCAAAGATCTCTTTTAACGCTACTTAAGTGGACTAGCCGCAACCGGGGCTTCTCTCTATTAGCAATCATATCCTCTGTGGCATGCCTTAAGATGTTTTTTAGCTACATTGTTGTAATGCATGTGGACGACATAGAACCTCCTGCAGCTTTTCTCGTGTCTCATTTAGCTCATGTTCTTTACGTTTTTCAAGTATTCATAGACACCTCGCAAGACAGTAAACTCCACAGCTCGCAGCTGCCATCCTCTAAACGTAGGCTTGTTCCTCACACTATATGTAAAAGGAAAAGTGTTCATAAAATTTTGCTGATAATATATCTATTGGAAAAATATAACTTTATACGTGCGTATCTGGGGAAAGCATTTGGCCAGGATGAAACACGTGATTGGCAGGGTTGTTCTGCGTGTCCTAGAACTTTATGTCTTCCTGTGCTGCCAGCTAAATAAACGCCAAAGTCGGGCAACAGGTATAACGTACACAGCGTGAGATAAAAGCTTCAGGAGATTGCGTTAGAGTTTGTACCTGCTGTGCGGCTGTTGCATGCCCACAACGCACTGCGTGACCCGACGAGCTCAAAGTGTGTCTTTCTATCGAAATAAAATTATCTTTTGAAAATTTGCTTTAAAAATGAACAATCCTAACTAAATATGGATAGCACTACTCTATAGATGGTAGGCTGTTGTGTGCTCAGTGAACAGTTGCTGGGCTAGCATGTAGCAGCCGACGAGCAGCAGGAACAACCCACACCAACTAGCTGCAAAGCTATCTCTCTTTGCGTCTGCCTGTCTCTGTCTTTCTCACTAAATTATTGCTCAAGCTCCAGGCCGCTGTCCCCTTGCAAATATTGGCTGGAGAGACAAGGATAATAATTGTCTCGTCCAAATGGAATAGATGGCACGAGGCGCCTAGTCTGCCGCCACAATACGAACGGCAGCGACAACGGCAACAGCGGAGATTATCTGCAGCAATAGCAGTATCAGCTGAGGCACACGGGCCGCCATAACAACAGCAGCAGCGGGAACAGGAGTGTTGGGACGAGCACTGCCAGCTTCAGCAGCAGCATCAGCAGCAACAACGACCCAGTAGCAGCACCACAAGCAGCAAAGATGTCGGCGAATTCTACGTCAGGCTTCGTGTCGTGTCGCTGGCTGAAAGGCTTGTCTGCCTGCGAGAGTCCAGTGGTGTTTACGGTGAAGGACAAAAAGTACATCTTGAGGAAAATGAGAAGGACAGATTACGAAGCTGCACGCGACCTGCTTCCCCTCGTCAGCCGCTGTCAGCAACAACTAACAGAAGCAGACCTATCCATTATATTAGAGCAGCCAACTTATTTGCCCTTCTGCTGCTTCGCTGCTGCTCCAGATATGGGTGCTACCCACACCGCTGCAGCTTCTCCGGAAGTTTCTTGTACTGGATCTAACGGTTGCGCTGAAGCAGCTAGAGCGAACGCGGGCAATACCGATTCTGCTTCATCTGAGGGGCCTCTGTGCGGCTTCTGTGAGGTGTACATACAGCCCCACTTGGGGAGAGCAGCAGATGGACGGCTAGAGCGGGTGGTTATACACCCCAGCTTCCGCGGCCAGGGTTTAGGAACCCAAATGTGTCGTTTGGTGTTGCAAATAGCGCAGAAGCAGCTGAGTTTGGGCAGAATTGACTTGACTGTTGAAAAAGACGACGCCAGACACATTTACACAAAGCTGGGGTTCGAACCCGTGCCCACGGAAACCCTCAGGCTTAGCTTCTGACCTGAGGAAAGTCTAAAGCCTTTTCCTGCCTTTTATTTGAAACGAGGAATTTACACACCTGAAGGGAAAGATGGCTTGATAGAATATGCGCCAAGATTACTGCTTGCTGCAGTTGAGCAAACCTTCCACAAGGCACCACCGTCGCTTTTGGGCCATATGTTGCTGTAGACTACTGCTCTGGGTAGCAGGCAAACTCGCCACCTTCCTAGTTAGCGGCCTAGCTAACCGTCTTCCTGGCTAGCCAGCAGCCTAGCTAGCCGCCTAGCTGGCTAGCTAACTAGTTTCTGGGCTGGCCAGACTAAAAGAACGAAGTTACCTGTAGCCTTGAACACGTCACGGGGATTCTAAGAGCCACACTGAAGAGCTACAGTCCCCAGCAGCAGGTAGGGAGCTACCGCAGCCGGAAGCTAGCTATGACTGCCGGTGGCTAGCTGCCAGCAGCCACAGCCAGCTGCGCTCATGCTGCACGCACTGAGCAGCTGCAGCAGGCTGCCTCTCAGCTGTGTGTGCAGGCCCCTGCTGCGGCGAAGGCGGGCACCGCCGCCGAAGCAGCAGTAGCACCTGCCGCAGCAGAAGCTGCAGCAGATTAGAACATGCGCTTCCAGTGTCTCTTCTTGGCGTGATAGTTGCCCCACTCTTTGCCGGAAATGGGCACCTTGTGTACGTACCCTTCAATGAGCCGTTCCATACGGGGCAGGCCCCACTGCCACTGCTGCAGCCGCTGCTGCAGCGGCCGTTGCAGCGGTTGTTGCTGCGCCAAGCTGTACGTACAGCCCGTCACATGCACCGTTCCAAATTCGTCCACGCGACCCAACAGTGCAGACCGAAAGAACCAGCCAGCGGGGGCTCCTTGGGCGCCAAGGGCCCCCGGCCCTCCGAATGCGTCGGCTGTTGCTACAGGCCTCCCAAAGTAGGTGCTGCTGCTCTTGCTGCTGCTGCTGAAGAGCAGAATGCCGTTCTCTGCTGTGGCTGCAGCAACGCCTGGCACCAGCTGGCCCAGAGCAACTCCCATTTCCTGACCCGCTGCTGCCGCTGCCGGCTCCGCTGTTGCCGCTTCTGCAGGTGCTGCCGATGCCCGTTCTTGAGGTGCTGGGGGCACTGCTCCATCCGCTGCGTTGCCCTGCTGCCGCTGCACGGCCACGACGCCAACTTCTGTTATCGTCAGCACATGCAGCACTGCTGCGGTAGTAGGCAGCAGCTGCTGCCACCTGCAGCAGACGCGTAAACGGGTGCACACACACACACACACAAGTACACACAAACGATCTCACTTGTTTTCAGTGCAAACAACAGCTGCTCTTACTGTGCTTATCGCTGCTGTTGCTGCTGGCGAGAGTTTCTATCGGGCAAAAGGTACGCACCCTTCAATAGTTGCAGCTACCCGTGCTGCAGGCAGAGCTTCTGCCACAGCTGTGGAAACGGTGGTGCTGCTGCTGGCGTTGCTGCTGCTGTCTTGTGGCGTTTGGCCAGCCATTAGAGTAACATCGCCTTCGTCCGTGCAGATAATGCAACAGCTAAGTCTCTGCCGTGCTGCTGCAGCAAGCTCGGCTGCAGAAGCCACTAGGTCTTCCGATGCCACAGCTAGTGCACTTCTTGCTGCTGCGGGGGCTCTTGCTGCTGCAGCCGCGCGCTCATATATATCCAGCATCGCCGTGGCAGTTTCAAGGTCCATTGCCAAAGTCCACTGTTGCTGCTGCTGCCGTTCCGTCTGCCGCTGCAGAAGCAAGTGCCACGCTGCTGCAGCACGCGCGCTCGCCGTCTCAGCAGAAAGTGCTGCTGCTGCGGCATCAGCAGCTTGCTGCTCCAGTGCCACCTGCAGCGGGAGCGGTACAGGCCCTTGCGGCTTTCTGGTGAGCAAGAGCACGCTAGATTGCCGCTGTAGCAGAGGGAAGATGACTGCCATCAGCAGCTTTGACTTAGTGATGGCAGCAGCCGCAGCAGCTACAACAGCAGTATGGCCTGGAATGATGTACTGCAGCAGCTGTTCTGCATTGCGCTGCAGCTGCTGTTTAACTGTTACTGCTGGCAGCAGCACCTTTCTTGGTTGCCCCCAGCAGCGGCTCGCCTCTACCAGCAGGCTCCACACGCTGCTGCTTTGCAAATTTCTGCAGCTGCTGCTGCTGCTGTCATCAGCGCTGCTCGCTCTCCTGCTGGTGTCGCTGCGGCTGCTGCTGTTGCTGCTGCTGCTGCTGTTGCTGCAGGCGCCCTCAGCAGCTGCAAGCGCATCCTTGAGCTCTCGCAGGGGGCCCAAAGGGCCTCCATCGCTGCTGCACAATGGCACCCACTTCGTACGTACTGCAAGGCTGCGGCTGTATGTGCGGCCCTTCTTAACAAACAGCCGCACCGTTTCAGCGGCTGTTGCTGCCTGCTGCTGCTGCTGCTG